CCTTTGCTTGATTGATTTTTTTTGTTTTTCAATACTTTTGAATAAGGATTTTATAAAGAAAGTGCGCACTGACTTTTGGAAACTTTTGGAAAGCTTCACAACTAAAGAGCTTAGGAAAAGTAAATAAGGAATACAGGGTGAGTAAAGCAAATCAAAAGGCAAAGAAAAGGAAATCTCCAAATTTTCAATAGAAATCTCCATCCCAAAGCCTCCAAAAGCATCAAATCTCAATGGACATATCAAATTGTTTAATAGAAATCTCCATCCAAAAGCCTCCAAAAGCATCAAATCTCAATGGAAATCTCCAATTTTTTAATAGAAATCTCCATCCAAAAGCCTCCAAAAGCATCAAATCTCAATGGAAATCTCCAAATTTTTAATAGAAATCTCCATCCAAAAGCTTGCAAAAGCATCAAATCTCAATGGAAATCTCCAAATGTTTAATAGAAATCTCAATCCAAAACCCTGTAAGATAAGCAAATCCCAGCAAATTCAAAAGGGAAAAAGTAAACTATAACAAAAAAAAAAATCCACTACAACTACCCCTCCAAAAAAAAAAAAGACATTATTCTAGGGGCCTTTATAAATCAGTGCAGGGGAAAAAAAAGACATAATTCTAGGGGGGTTTATAAATCTGAGGACTACATTAAGGAAATAATGACGTGGGACGACAAAGAAAGACAACTTGGGGCCCCAGAAGTTTGTCTCTCATGCGTGATCTCTGCTGAGCCTCGGTCAAATGGGTCTATGCCCCAAAGATAGGATGCCATTGATTAGCTTACAATGGTATATATAGAAAACGTCTGTTTCCTCTTGTCCGAAACAACCCACAGGTAGTTCTGATATGTTCTGATGGCTCTAAATGATCTTCAGCCCTCGCAACATCTCCTGCTGCAGCTCGCAGTGTGCTCGTTTCGCACGGCAGGTCTCAACCTGAGACGAGACAGAGAGCGCAGCGGAATCGCAGCGTGGATCAGCAGCGTACGGAAGATGGCACATGGAAAATGATGGAACATCGGTGTTTCCATGTCTTTTTCCATTAGGGATTAGAATACCGTACCGATGTTCGATTGATAGTTCAAATCTCCTTGATGCCACCTTGCGAAAGAGGTTTCAGAAAATAGATGGGAAATAGTCGTTGCTGCTGCATGTTGTTCAAGTCTTGAAACCATGTTAGATCTGTCTTGCCCGAAGAGAGCGGCCCTCAAATGGTGGCGATCAAGGCCCGCGGCCCTCAGCTGAAAGTTCTGTGGGTCTTCAGCATTGAAGCGAAGAGCTAGTCGCTTGACCTCCAGGTCCATCCGCGAGAAGAATACCATGGCAAGACCATGTGGTGATCTGAATACCATGAATCATTCTGAATCATTCTGAATCCCATGAAGACCGATGGTTGGTACCCAGTTCACCAGGTAAAAATCGACGTGGTGAACCACGTCTCTCATCAAATCAGTCAAGGCCACCAGGGCCTTGAGGCCCTGGTGATCGGCACATTCAGCTTGCATGTATGGTGCCCGATTGATCCTGATTGATATATTCTCCCTAGTGACCAGTGAAAAGAAAACACATGCCAAGTCCCACCTCAGCTGCGTGAAGATCTGCCACACATCTACTATATAGATCTTCCAAACATCCAGATGATCTAGCCTAGTCTCCAGCCTGCTTTCGGCTTCCGTCCTCCAGCTCCACTAAGTATCTCGAGTTCGATGCCTGGCGCCACAGACGGACCGCGTCACGTGCCACGGACGACCCGTCGGATCGAAGCGGGACGGGCCTCGTAGCCCAGGACCCAGCAGGGCAACATGCGCCACTCATGCGCGATGTAGTGCAATACACAGGCCTGACTCCGGCACAGCCATCACAAAATACATATGTCTTGGCTCGTTGAATCGAAGGCTAGGTCATGGAAATTCACAAGGGCGCTGATGGGTGTGGGCAGAAACTACCCCCCTTGCCCACTGGTATTGCAGAAGACTCAAGAGCAGTTTTCCTTGTAGCTCCCCCCCTCTTCTTGGGCAACATCGCCACCTCAAAATGGGCTCAGCCACCCAGCGAGCCTGAGGCTTCCCCGCTGCCGGCCCGTGGCACATCGATAGCCACTCCTCAAAGGGGTCATCAGGATCAGGAGGTTAGGCATGCACCAAGTGAAGATCCATTTTGTAAGAAAAGTCGGCTTGCACCATCACTCCATGATCTAAACCTTTTTCACCTTGCACCAGCATGCGGCATGCACTACAAACGACATCAAACTACGACAGCAAACGACCATGCGACTACAAGCTTTGGACACATAGACACACATGACTCCATGACGCAAAAGGACCAACCTACAGGCCCAGCAGGCGCCCAGTGGCGTAAAAAACCAACCACGCGCGCGGCCTGTGGCGTATGCACCTCGAAGTCCATTGGGGTGTCCTTGCCACGGTCGTATGCGCAAAAGAAATCGTATGCAGCACTGATCAAGTCTGGACTTCCCCGTGATGTCGGATGACCGAGTGGTGTCTCCAGACATTGTGGTGACATCACGGTGACCTCGCGGGGTGGTTTCGGAGGGAGACTGTGCAGCTTCCAACAAAACGATGACCCAACCATCACCAACCAAGCTGCAAAGGCTTCGAGCGGGAGGCCCGTTGAACCCTTCATGGCTCCAGACATTTCGTGAGACGGTTTGCTTTGAAACTTTGTGACTTGTTGTTGGTTGCGCACTGCAAAAAAGAAACAAAAAGAAAGATCACTGGGCTAAAGCATCGTCCGTCTTGGTCGAAGAATGGAGGAGATTTCGTGGATTAGCTGATGCTGCGCACGAACACACCCATGGCTGCATACGGTACAAACTAAGATATTTGAGCTGAAAATGCTGAGGTATATATAACTGATAGTCAATAGTGTGCGGATGGAAGCAATTCTGGGTAGTTGCCCTCTCGCCGGATACCAACACCAAAACAGCGCATGGAATTGAAAAAAGAAAACATTATTCACCTCCAAAAAACAAGTCGCGTCCAGAACCTGACCACTATATAGCTACAAATTTCCGGAAGTCATAGATTGTACACAAAACGCAACTATAATAACGGTTGTCTACCTTCTCTACAGCTGAGCGACGCCCCAAATGGAGAGTGTGGATCCTCGTTTTGGATGCGACGCTTGCACCGAGGCTGGATCCTCAGGAGCAGCCAGTGCAGTTGCCAGCTGCGCCTATTCTCAGCTCCTTGGAGCTTTCGGCACAAGCTGAGGCTTGTACCAAATCCTAAGAACCCAAGAGAGTCTACAAAGCCGCTGGAATACGCCAGAGGAATCAGCCAGCTCTAGCTGCCAAAAAGCTTTTTAGACCAGGGGGAAGGGGTGACTGTGGCCACTTGACTAGTGACATTCTGCGTTCTAATGCATTTCCTGCGGCTGGGGTCAAACGAAGAGGCTCCAAAGTGACAATCAAGATTTCAAGATTTCAATGAGCGTGATGATGCCACATGAGAGCCTCTCGGCCTGATACGAAACCACTTCGTGGCAAATCTTTTTAACTATTGCAAGTGAGACATTGCAACTCAACCGCGACGCCATCAAGCGCCACCTGAGACGAAACCCGCCAAGACGCAAACGCTTCACCGGGAGCGTGGGATAAGTCACACACTGGACCAAGCAGATTATCAACCAACCCTTGATAGAAGTATGGAGCAGGCCCTCTACATGTGCCTCTCTGTCAGATCTACAGTCTGTTTCCATCTGTCTGCTTCCTCACTGCTTGTCCCTGAATCTATATAGTAGTTTCTCCTCTCATATAGTATACTTGCCTGTTGTTGCAGTCGAATTGGCGCTTGTTGGCGCTTGTTGGCGCGTGGTTCCCGGAACGACCCCCCTCAGTCTGTCCACCTGCGCCTAGTGACGCTCACGAGTTCGTTTCCTTCTGACGCTGACGTTCGTCGTGCGTTCGGTCTTCGTCTCAGCATCGAACCAGCATCATGATGGTAAGGTACATCAGGAAAGGGCCTATGAAGCAAGAGCATGCAAGAGCTCAATAGCTCAAGTGGTCCATATCGACGAATGAAAAAGGAACACTTGTGAGTCTGAGCACAAGCGGATGCCAGCCAAGTGAAGAAGCCACTCTGAGACCGGAGCAGCTTCAAAGTTTTTGGCAGATCCACTGGCCGACGCAGCGCCTCCCCCCCCGAAAGGGTCATGACGTCTGCGGCGGCGACAACAAGCGACGACGCCTGCAGGTGCCCAACCTGCCCAGCTGGTGCCAAAGGCTCCGGTGACATGGGCGCCTCAAATCGTTCTTCCACAAGTCGGAAGCCCAAAAACTCAGCTCACATGGCTTCGCACCAGGAGAGATCTTGGGATAATCATGGATGATCAACTCCATGATGCTTCTAGGGTGCCCTTCATGTCTTCTCCATCTTCTGCTCAACCCCACCACGTCACCACGTCCGGTCCGTGCGTCGTTGACTCGGTCGCCCCGGCCGCGGGCGGGGACGGAGGCCACTCGTCCTCGGACTCCGGCGGCGCCTCGGCACCCTGCAAGGCGAAGCACAACGAGTCAGATGGGCATGCAGGAGTCAGAGGATGGAGGAAGGTCATGAAGGACGGAGGAAGCTCACTGAGGTCTTGGAGTATTTCTTGGTTTCTTGGAAGTAGAAGTATTGGAATGCGTTGGAGTAAATTATGTAGATACTGGGGTAAAGTATGTAGTTATATATAATTTATGTTTCTGGCTTTGAGCAGTTCGGAGCGGATCTGGGCCATCAAAGGAGGCGCAAGCAAATGGATTGGTAAGGCACTATCAATTAAGTTATCAGAGAAAAGAACAACCTACCCCTGCGTTATGTTCTTCGTCTCAAGAATACCCTTCAAGACTTAAAACAGAAATGCCCGCCTCGGAGCGCAACTCCAGTTCATCGTCTGTGAGGCGATCAGCTGGCCTCGGGCGTGCTTCTGGGAGCTCTCAAACAGATTTCAATTGATTTTTGGAGCACCGTATGGTCTAGCCTCGCCAGCAGCCTACACCGCCTACAAGGGAAGCCGTCCTTGGCGATGTCCGCAGCATCGTGCTCGGCGAAGCTGCTTTCATCTCCTGCCGTTTCACTTCAAGGACCTCAGGACCTCAGGTGTATGATGGAATCCAAAAACGAAGAGCCATTGTCTCTGCCCCATGATCTAAGAAGACAGGTGCTTTAACAGGCCAGCTCTCCACCAGCTCTCCGCCAGCTCCGCCCATCTCCTGCGCTCGACCTTGGGCATCTCGAGGCTCCGGGGGCCTTCGGAAAGATCCCCAGCCGAAGGACCCACCCAACTTCAGCCCCCGGGCGCGCCCGTGCCTGTCCCAGGTGCTGAAGGGCGAGGCACTGGCCAACCTGCCGCTCCAACCGGCAGGTTGGGTGCAAAAAGACACATCTCCCCGGGCCTTTGGCCAGCAACGGGCCTTAGAATCTTGACCACAACAAGTGGGGTGGCCAGATGTGGGCCATACTACACAACTCTGCGTCCGACCCCGAGCGTTTCCTGGGGCTTTTCTCCCGGCTTTCCGAGCTCGCTGCGGATCCCTCGAAGGCGCCATGGGCGGCTCCGGGCTATCCACCAGCCTGAGGGGCGCGCTGAGTCGAGGCGCGCTGTTACGGCAGGACGAAGCCAAAACGGGACAGACAAACCAAGACGTCGACGTTTTCTCTTTAAACAAAGGCAGACGTCAAGAGGTCGGCATCTTGGTTCTTTTTGAGGTCTCTTGGTGGATATGCGGGCCTTGTGGGCACAGAAACTGAACTTCCTTTCATCTTTCTGGCCGCTGGTCTATAGTCTGAGAGAGGGAGCAAAACAGGTGAGGAAACTCAACTCCATGAATGACCTTAATAAACGTGAAGCAAATCAACAGGTTGAATGCTCCAAGCCGCGCACACCGCAACTTGGCCAGTCGAAGATTATATAGACTATGGACTGCTGTCAAAAGCACCGACCCACAAAATACAGGCAATTCATGGAAGACAAGCTCAGCCTCGTCGCATAGGAAGAGCTTGGCAGTGCCGGAGATCTCAACAAATATGGACTGCCGCAACTGCCTCAGGGACTTTGGTGTGGAAGCTCGACAATGCCACAAATGGGCCTGTATTAAAATAGGAAGACCCCCCCAAACAAAATAGCCTGGAAGAAGCAACAAGAAGGCACATAGGCCACAACCCATTGCTGGGAGTTGTCCATAGTTTTCCTCTTCCCAACCCCAAAATGGCAGGAATCTCCTCGAAATCTCCTCATATCTCCCTGTTCTCCCTGTCTTGCCTCCTCGGACCTCTGCCCACGCCAACGCCCGAGACTCCCAGCTGGCGGATCTCTGCGGCGTCGGAGACGCGGGCAAACTGACGAAGAAACGGAGGAGGGCGCAACGTGTGGGTGTGGGTCTGGATACCAAGCACACAAAAAAAGAAATAACATCTGGATCACTCTGTTTGAAAGCCGCTGGCATCAAACCCCGCCTGGATGAGGGCAGCGGAGACCGTACCGACAGCCTTCGGACCTGCACCACGAGACGCAACGAGACGAACGAAGACTCCGAGGGCTTCGGTATCGCTGCTAGCAGCACTCGGTTGCTTTCGTCATCGCTGCGAGCCCTCGCCTCTTTTTCATGGGAAGAATCGTAATCATTTCCACATAGCTGCTGGCAGCAATCGCCTGAGCAAACAAGCTGTTACAAGATGGCATGGCGCCAATGAAGACACCCTGTTTGTGAAGCAAATGGCCCGAACCTCATTGCACAGGAATGGCCAGACAAAATTTACAAAAGAAGAATGGCCCGCAAAAAAGTTGCGATCCTCCACAGAAAAAGGTGACTTACTTCCACATGTCCATTTTGGGATGGCTTCTTGAGAGCAAAAAAGCCTATCCTCTGTGTTTGTCAACCTCCTCAAACCACCGGTCCAGGCTTCACACCATGGGTTTCAGGCTCAACACCCACTGCGGCCGTTTCCGGCCGCTTGGCCGTCCGTGCGTCCATGCCCGCCTTCTTCATCTGCTTGGTAGGCCGGAGCCGTGCGCGGAGGCTCCGAAACCGTGGCCTGAAGTGGAACCAGGGCGAGTCGGAGCGTGGAAGGAGGGGCCGGGGAATCGCACCAACATGTTTTACATATGGCTGTGGGTCGTGGCACCCCGGAGACCCTTTCACCACCAGGGTAGGTTGACCGAAACCAGGTCGTTGACCTTCTGTGCATTCCAAGAAAGGCGCCCGGAACCGTTGCCGCAATGTAGAAGTCAGCAAGGTAAGTCCGAAACAAAATGACACGGGAATCCCTCTCACATAGGCCAGGAGCCAACAGTACAATGGGAGAACTTTCGGATTGCGAGGCAGTTGATGGTCCATCACTGAAGTTGAGAGTGAAGTTCCCACGATCCCAATATCAAATCAGGGCTTAGATTGAAAAAAATAACATTGTGGCTTCACCGGCGCAAACGCAGTTTCTTCTCATGGTCCAGGTTGTGGAACTTCACAACTCCTCCAAGCTCTGGGCATTGAATCTCGACACCTCTCTGGATGAGGCCTCCACACCGTCCGGTGCAGTGCGGTGTAGGATGACGGCGGAAGGGATGGACACGTCGTTTCCGGCGCCTTCTGAAGGGTGCGTGCACCTTCCACAGGAAGAGAACCGCCTCGGGATAAACACACG